TCTCGTCGCCGTCCCTGACATCTCTTCGTTCCAGGAGCCCAATAACCTGAAAGCCCGCAACTCCTTCCGCTACAACGGGCTGATACACCGCAAGACGGTGGGTGTCGAGCCCGCTGCCGACGGCAAGGGGGTTGTGGTGGTCCTGAAGCGGAGAACAGGTGAGCAAGGGGCCCGGGTTAGGATTGGGACCTGAGCACCACTGGGTGCTTACAGGGGGGTGAGCTTCAGGTTGGTGGCTTGCTTGGAGTCTGGGTCCCTTCCCAGGTCAGAGTGAAAGCCAGCGGGTAGGTGTCTTACAGAGGAAGTTGCAGGCCTGGGACCAGTAGGGTACCAGGAGAGTTGGCAGGGCTGTGGGTGGGGGGAGTCGGCTGTTACAGTCGACTGCTCTGGGCACGCTCCTTAAGGCTTGGTTTACCAGGCCAGCCCCATCCTTGGCTGGGTGGCAAAGCCTTTGGACTAGTCGGCACCTTGCCTCACCTGTAGTTTCAGGGTTTGGAAGCTTAGATGCCAGTTGGTAGCCAAGCTCTATACCGACTTCCTTAGGTGCTTGGCTGTCTCAGGGTGACTGGGCTGCTGGACCTGGAAGGGATGCCCACCGAGGCTTGCCCTGCCCTATGGTGATCCCACTTTTGTGGGCAAAGAGAGGGCTATAGCTTTTCCTGACTAGGGTGTTGGGTGGGAGCTTCCCTGATCAATGGATGATGCCCCTACCCCCGCCCCCCCTCAGGCCAGCGGAAGCCTGCCACCTCCTATGTTCGGACCACCATTAACAAGAACGCCCGGGCCACACTCAGCAGCATCCGGCACATGATCCGCAAGAACAAGTACCGCCCTGACCTTCGCATGGTGAGGGCCTCGGTGCTTGCCTGGGGTGGGGGAGAGGTGTGTGTAGCTGGAGGGGGCTTTTGCCGATACTGAGCCCTGTGTCTGCCACCTGGGTCTCCAGGCTGCTATCCGCAGAGCCAGCGCCATCCTACGCAGCCAGAAGCCTGTGATGGTGAAGAGGAAGCGGACTCGCCCCACCAAGAGCTCCTGAGCACCCCTGGCCCAGAGCAATAAAGAGATCTACCCTCCACCTGTCCTGCAAGTTTGTGAACACAGCCCTGGCTCCCCCCACTTGGAAGGGCAACCTGCCTGCATCTTGGGGGGCGTGGAGGGTTTGGGGTCCTGGTCCCATCTGCTGGGACTGACCACCTATATCCTGGCTCCCCAGAGTAAGGGCAGAGGAGAGATGGTGTCCTGAGAAGCCCGGTGGGGGTGAATGAGGAAGGGTGGGTAGGGTAGGGGGTTCCTGACAGCTGCAGACAACTTTCCCATGCTCAGAGGGTAGTTTCTTCATGGCCCCTGCCCCTGGTTTCCTGAACGCCTATTCCCATCCCACCTCCGACAGGCAGCCACTATAGCTTTGTCCATGGTGGACAGTGTTGGGGTGATGCTGGGACCTAACCCCAAGCAGTGAGGGTGACGAGCCTGCAAGTGATAGCCAGCAAGTGTGTTGCTCTGGGAACTGCCCTGCCTTGACTCCCATGTCCCTGCTCCCCTGGGAGACTGAGGTGCCCATATGCCTTGAAAACCCCTCTATCTCTTTATGCAGACTCCTGAAGGATCTCATTCCCAGAGGCACACCCACCCCTTGTGACCTTCCTGGGATCGATTATTTCTTATATCCCCAGGGACCTTCAGTTGCCAGGCTCCAGACTGGCCTCTGGGTCTACCACCTGTAAGGTGAGCTCACCTGGATCACCTGTGTTGCTATTGGCAGACACCCCACACACACACACACACACACACACACACCTCCCTTAGCTGAGAGGGTGGTTGATGTCCCTAATAGGCCCAGTTTGATAGGCTTCCCACCAGGAAGGCTAGGTGGGAACTGCTGAGCCACTAGCATAAACCAAAGAGAACTGCTGTCAATTCTGAAGATGACTCAACAGGAAGAGAACAGTCCCATGGGGTTTCACAGGAGGCTGCTACATCTTTGGTCTGTGGGGTCAAACATCTGACTTACCAGCTGGGACCTTAGCCACCAAGCTCCTCCTAGAAGGTCCAGCCTTCTGGTAGCCCCACACACTCAGGGCCCCTGCAGGTTTAATCCGGAACCCAAGGATGAGGGGTAGGGGGCACACTGGCTTAGGTGGCTTACCTCTCAGGTGCCACCAGGTAAAGATCTTTGGAGTTTATTATTCCCTGTTTGCAGAAGTGGGGTTCCCAAGAGTCAGAAGCAGATGGCCAAGGGTGGCTTGTTGAGGGGCATGTGAGCTCTGTTGGCCATCTAGCTACATTTCTGCCCCTCCAGGGAGCAGCCCAGTGCCTAACTACCACTGAAGGCAGGCTCAGTTAAGATGGCTGTTTTGTCATTGATGTGCCAGTGGAATGCTATTCCCAATTGACAGACTTGCACAAAACAAGGGTCACCCACATTCCACCTGTGCCCACTCAACTGCTGGGTGAAAGGTCTGGTGACCCTCCTGCAATCCTAACAGCTGTGACCCCACCCAGCCCAGCTGTTGACCTCAACTTCAGCCCCTCCCTCTAATAGCTGAATTCACTGCCAAAAGTTTAGAAAGGGGCTAAGTGGCCCACTGTCTTGGTTGGAAAGCAGATACTAAGAACTGAGGAGCCCTGGTGTAGCGGTCCCACGTCAGGCTGTGACCATGCAGGTCAGCCTTCAAGACCAGCAGCAGCTCTGGGGGAGGCGTGGGGCTTTCATCTCCCATAAACAGTTAGAGTTTCAGAAACCCACCAGGGGTCAGCATTGACTTGATGGCAATGAACTTATAAGTTGAAGGTTGATATCAAGGATTTTGTCTTCATTGGATCCACAATGCTATTGAAAACAGCAGTCGTCGAGGTCAAATGGCACATTACACTGGGTAAATGTGCACAAAACCTCTTGAAAGAGAAAGGGAACCAATGGACATATAACCCACCCCCACCAAGGGGACCAACAACAGAAAAATGGGTGAGAGAAGACAGACATTGGTATGGGACATGAAAAAATGGTTCATGAGGGAGGGAAAAAATTGAGCTGATACCAAGGGCTCAAATAGAAAGCAAATGTGAAATGAGGACCTAATGCCAGGGGTTTAAGTGGAGAGAAAATGTTTTGAGAATGATGTACAATTGATGTGTGTATGGATTGTGATAAGAGTTGTATGAGCCCCTAATGATTAAAAAAAAAAATGTGCTCGACACAATGGATGGATGGTGATAGAGCAGTAAGAACCCCCAATGAAATTATTTTAAAAACACAAAACCTCTCTTGAAAGTTGGCAAGGAAGGAGGCTTTGAAGGCTGGGGTGTGCCTGACAAGCCATGGGCTTCTCCATTGCCTCGTGGGCGTGTGAGCGCTGGGACACTGAATGAGGATGACCGGAGGAATCAATGTGCTGGAGGAGACAACTCAAAGTACTGCGGGCTCCTCAAAGGGCGAAGCAGGCCGGTCTGAGAAGTACAGCCAGGCTGCTCCTTAGAGGCGAGGACGGTGAAACTTTGATCTCACGTACTTGAGACATGGCAGCAGGGCCCAGTCTCCGGAGAAGGGCAAGCTTGGTCAAGTGGAGGGGCAGTGAGCAAGAGGAAGAGCCTCAACAAGATGGGTGGACACAGTGGCTGCAGTCATGAACTCGAACTTGGTGAAGATGGTGCTGGTTTGTCCTGTTGCACACATCCAACAAGACGGCACCCAACAACAAACTGTTTCAGCGGGTGGACGTATCTGTCCGATGTCTAAGACTAGCCCTGCTGGTGTGGTTTACTCTTGGGTGCCAACCGCACACCCAGCACTTAAAACTCACCAGAGGAGACTGGTCCTGTGGAGATTTACAGTCCCAAATGAGTCAGGGTGGACTCCCTGGCAGTGACAGTAACTGCTCGTCTACACCATGGACAGCCAAGGGAAGCACAGCCCTGCCCCAAGCCTCACAGTTAAGTGCAAGCCCATCGTTGCAGCCACATGTCAATCCATCTTGCTAAGAGCCTTCCTCTTCACCATCCTACAGTACCAGGCTTGTCCTCTAGGGACTGGTCCATCCAGATGACAGGACCAGTGTACACGAGAGGACGTCCCTCCATCCTCACTTCTAAGCATTCAGGCTGTAATTAATTCCTTCTGCCGAGACAAGACTTGTATCCTAGTCGTCCACGATGGTTTCAGCATTCTTGGCCAACACTGATTCAAATGCATCAATTCTCCGGTCTTCCTTTATATTGATTGTCCACTTTGTGTAGGCATGGGAGCTGATGGGAAACATGTGGCTTGGGTCAGGGACACCTGAGTCAAGGCCACCTTGGTGCCAGTGAACCTAGGCAGCCGTGTCTGCCCCTGTGGGTTTAAGACTGCCACTCTTCATGGGAGCAGGACAGGTCTCCTCTCTGAGGTGGCATGACTGCTTGTCCTTAACCAGGCTTTATGACTGACAGTGTCCCTGGGGGCCAGCAGGGCAGTTCAGTTCCCAGCTGCCCACCAAAGGGTCACTGCTGGAAGCCACCATTTCACAGGAAGATGAGGCCGTCCACGGCCAGAAAGACTGACAGCCTTGGGACGCCCAGAAGCAGCTCTACTCTGCCCTAAGGGCATCAACTGGACAGCACCTCGTCTCTCCCGGCATGTGGGCATTTAACCCCTTGGCCCTCCAGCACACTGAAGTCACAGGGTGTCCTACCGGACATAGAACAGCCCTACTGGGTGCCCAGGTTGCCTCCTCAAACTGCCAACATTCCAGGCAGCACATGTTCTAATGGCTGTGCCATCAGGAGCCCTCCAAGAGATGCTCGAACCAAACCCACAGCACCGCCACTGCTCTACAGGGCTCCCGAGGCTCCTGCTTGTTCACAGGAGTGGCCGCCTGCTGGGCTGCTACCCTCAAGGCAACCTGAGCCCACCAGCTGCTTTGGGGAAGGCAGTTGGGCCGTCCCTGTCCCATAGGGCACTCGGATTCAGAAATTACACAGCAGTTTCGTTTTGGGCAATAAAGCTTCGTAAGGGCACACAGCCTGCCTTCTTGGTCCCTTGTGGTGCGGCTGGCAGGTTTGAACCATCAACCTCGTGGGCTCAGCGACTATGGGCCCATTTTCTTTGTATGCACTCCCCACCAGGACCACTTGCCTGGGGTCTGAGGAAACCCAGCATGAGGAATGTCGAGACGTGGCTGGTCAGTCTACAGAAGCCACTCAGATGACCAGCTATTGACGTTAAGGGCTCACACCAGAACCAATTTAGGACAGCTGTGTGTGGACAGACCCTTCCTTGGGCTGTCACTCCGAGTTAGGCCACCCTCTGGTTGGGGCTGACCATCCTGGAGGTACCGGGTGCAACATTCCTATCAGACTCTCCGAGCCCCTCTGTGCACAACCCAACCCAACACTGCCCACAACCGTGGAGGCCACCTCCTGGAGGTTCCTCCTGTTACTGACCTCTGCTGCCCCCTGCCTTCACACAAGGGTGGGGTCCGGGACAGGGGTCCTCACAACTCACAGGCGCTGCTTTTCCAACTTTATTTAGAAAAACAAGTCCAGGCCCGGTGCCCCACCCATCCCCCCAACCATAATTTAAATAACTTAGAGCCAGAGCAGAGGGCCCCCTACAGCCGCCGGAGTGCCCGCTTCTTGTCCGGCTTCTTCCTGGCCGCCAGCTTCTTCTCCCGCTCTCCAGCGTGCTTCTTAGCCAGGGGGCCCTCAGCCCCACCCAGGCCTCCAGGGGCTGCGGGGTCAGCAGCGGAGGCCCCGGCAGGGGCAGCGCTGGGCAGGGTCCGGCCGGCCTCCGCCCTCCCTGCACTGGGCCCGGCACAGCCGTGGATCTCGGTGAGCAGGCGTGCGCGTGCCGCATACTCCTCGTAGTTCTCCAGCAGCAGGCGGCCGGCCTCCTCGTTGAGGGCTGACTCGGGGTTGGGGTGGATCAGCAGGCACTTGATGGTCTGCAGGCACAGCCAGTCAGGGGGTGGCCCAGCTCCTCCCGCTGTCCACCCTCAACAGATAAAAACAGAGCCTCCCCACCCCCAAGTCCACTGCTCTTTCTGCTGCTTCTAAAGCCTGCTCTGAGCAGGGCACAGCCACTGTGGAGGGCAGGGCTCAGTGACAAAGGTTCTCAGAGTCCCTTGGTGGGTGAGCCTTACAAGTGTGGGCGGGTGAAGGAGGGACTAGTCCCAGAGCTTCAGCAGGGGTGGGACACAGGTACCAACTCCAATGTACCTCATTCTTCCATAAAGCTATCACTGGCCTGCACAAAACCCCCAAGTCCAGGGGCTAGAAATCCTGTCCCCCTCCATCCATGAGGACGTGGAGGTTGGAGAGGGGTTACCAGCACACGCCCCTGGGAAGCAGCCTGCAATCTCATCTCAGAAGGTGGGTGTTGGGGATGACCGCTCTCGCTCACACAAGCCCGCCTGCTCCCCACTCTGGGCACCCCCTGGAGACGGGTGAAGCTGCTGCTCTGCCTGCCGCACTCCACTCAGGGACCTGCTGAAGTCTCAGGATGGGCACAACCCTGACAGCCCAGACCAGGCCTAAGGACCCTGGTGGTCTGCAGACATGTCTGCTACCCCAGCAAGGAGGGAGCTGAGAGCAATGACTCATCTCAAAACACAGTCCTGGCCCTGCCCTGGGCGCACACACACACCCGTCCCTGCCCCCACCCCCTACCCCAACGTTTCCAGGGGGCTGGACACCTCCCAGTCTGCCCTGGGGCCAGCACTGATAGCCCTTCCTTGAGCTTCTAAAACAGTGGCTCTCAACCTAACCCTTTGACAGGGGTTGCCCAATTCCTAACAGTAGCAAAATGACAGTTATGAGCACCATTGTTCTAGAAGCTTCGGGAACCTGAGTGTGGAAGCCCTCAAAGCTAGCTGAACGGAAGACGGTTGCCTAGCCACTCACCAGCAGCACGTGACGGATGCCCAGCTCGGCCGTCCAGTCCCTCTTGAGCACGTTGACGCAGATCTCACCGTTGGCGCCCACATTGGGGTGGAAGATCTTGGTCAGGAAGTAGCCCTTGGGTGGGGAGGCGGGGAAGTCCTTCCCCAGCAGGAGCTTCATGCGGAACAAGCCCCCCGCATACGGGGTGCCCTCTGTGGAGGGAGGGGATGTTCAGGATAGCAGGACCCTCAGGCCCTTCCTCCTGCACTGACCAAGCTGCTCAGAGACAGATGACGGGACAATAACCCCTGGGCCTGGTGACCTGCTCTTCTGAACCTCGCTCTTCTCCCGCCCCCGGGTGACAGCCTGAGCCACTAGCTTGCAGGCTGTCCAGGCTCCGGCGCTTCTGTTCCCCCTTCACCACACCCCTGCTTTGCTCCCCCAGGCCCAAGAGGGCCCACACACACCTGCCCCTATGTTACAGGGCAGAGCTGTCATCCTGGGGCCCTGACTTAGGGCACTTCCATCTGGCCCCTAGAACCTGACCCCTCCCTGTTGGCCTCCTGTCATCTGCTCTGCAGAAACTGGATCCAGGGACAGCGTGGGATCTCCACAATACGGCCAATTGATGGGTCCTATCTCCTGCCCAGCCCCACCACTGCGAAGGTGCACAGTGGCCCCCATAGGGGCCCACCTCCGGGCCTTTGCTCCAGCTGCTCTTCCTGATCCTACCCGCTTAACCCCCACCTGTCTGCCTGACCACAGGCTGGCCCTCAACGTTGTCTTCTCTACCCGCACCCCCAAGACCTGTGGGTTGTGTCCACTACACCCCTGAAGGGCCTTCCTTGGGAGGCTGCAGCACTCACCAGGGCCCTCAATGGTGACCTGCAGGTCAGTGAGGTCCTCCTCGTTGGGAAAGACTTTGATGCCATCGGGCGGGTCGGTGGTCAGCGTGGTCACCTCCTTGTACACTAGGCGGATGATATGGGGAGGCAGGTTCTCCACGTTGGAATTCTACGCACGGGTGGAGGAGAGAAGGGTCCTGAGTAACCATCAGTCCAGGCACCCTTCCCAAGTCCTGACTTCCCACCCAGGACGCTACAGGACCCTTATTATCCCATGCTGATCTCCCACTGGAATTGGGGGTGGGCCTGACAGGAGGCTTCAAGTGGTTCCACCTCCCAGACCCCGCAAGTCTCCTGTAGGGCTGCACGGACTGGCTCCCCAAGGGGTGCAGGTAGGCCCGAGGCCTAGCCTGGCCCCTTCCCCAAGTTAGTTTCCCTGGGACCCCCAGTTCGGGCCTACAGATGGCGGCCAGGCGGCCTCGCTCCGGTGACATCCCCCATCCCCCCGGCAGCCCTGCCCGAGGTTCCGGGGTGCCTGCAGGCCTCCTAGGTCCCGGCCTAGCCCCCAGAAGGCCCATCACCGGCCCAGGCGCCCCGGGGAGGCCCTCAGGTCCCTGCGAGACCCTGCAAGGCCTCGAAGCCCGTGCTCACCAGGGCTGCGGCCGGGGGCGGGTCCCCCCGGCCCCCTTCCTGCGCTCCTCGGGCCGCCGGCCGGGGCGGGGGGCCCAACAGCTGCCGCTGCGGCCCAGGCGAGGACCCGGCGGCCCCGCTGCACTCCCCACAGTCTCCGACGAACGCCCTGCACCGTGCTCACCGCTCCGCTCGCCCCGAGCGCTCGGCCGGACTAAGCTCGCCGCGCGCGCAGCCGCACCCTCTTATAGCAGCGCGCAGGCCGCGCCCCCCACGGCCCGCAGCGCCGCGTGACGTCAGCGCGCACAGCCCGCGCCGTTGGTCTCTCTCAACGCCTCCTGCGCAAACCGCAGGTCGAAACCAGAGGAACTGGGCGCTGGGCGCGCGGCGGGCCAACCAGTGGCGGAGCGCGGGGATCGAGGAGGGGACCTTCGGGGCCAAGGGGTGCCAGCGAGGAGAAAAGAGGGGAAGGCGACGTGAGCGGCGACACGCCCGCTGATTGGGCCGTTTGAATGAGACGCCGCTACCGTCCGGTGTGCGTGCGCGTGCTCCCGACGGCTGGGAGGTCGCGCACGCCAGTAACTGCCGGTCCGGCGGCGGGGCGGAGCGAAGGGAGGCGGGGCACGGGGGGAGGGCTTTTAAACAGATGATGGATGGCGCTCCGACCAATAGCTTTGCGTGTGCGTGGAAGGGCGGGCTCAAGACTCGCAGGGCCCAATCCCGGACAGACAGGGCTGCTCCGCAGGAGGCGGGGACCGATGGAGAAGGGCCAATGAGGGTCCGAGTTAGCACGGGACTAACCTCTTCCAGCCAGTGTGGTTCGCTGGTTGCTATATATGCAAATGAGATAGGCGTTAACGCCTGCGTCCTCCTCCCCGTTCCCTGCTGGTGGAGGTGGGCGCCAGAAGTCAACCTACAGTTTTGTGTGAGGCGCCATTTTGTGCTGAATGTGACCTGTGGCCCGAAGCCCTGTGCTCCGAGGTTCCAAAACAGACTTTGACTTTGAAGTGACTTTGAAGGCTTGGACGACTTGGCCCTCAAGGGTGTGGCTTCTGACCTTCACAAGGCCTCTCTCAAGACCCCTGTGCCTCAGTTTCCTTCTGTGGGAAATGAGCGCTGGAATGCCAAGGGAGTGGGAGAGAACATGTCTCCAACCAACCAAGGTCCTCTCTCAGGTCTGCTGGACCCCATGTGACCAGAGCCAGGCAGAGGGCCCCACCGAGACCGGCAACTGCCCAGCACCTCACCATCCCCACACTGCCTCACCTCTCACTACAACTTGATGAGAACATGGATTTAAGTCTTCATGGGAACAAGACAGGTCACCTGGCTAGACCACCAGCACAAGATCTTCGTGGTGCCCAAGGCTTTGGGACGCGGGAGGGCAAAGGGAATTTGTCACACACCCACAATTGGCAGCAGGTCGCAGGCCGTACCACAGAAACGGGAATGGGGCCATGATTGGGACAGGCGCATGATGTAAAATAAAAGAGCTTATAAAATTGGTTACAGGGTGCAGTGTAGCAAAGATGAAACATTCAACTATCCTCTAGTTCCTAAATGCTTCCTCCCCTCCCCTCCCCCACTATCATGATCCCAGTTCAACCTTACAAGTCTGGCTAGACCAGAGGATGCACACTGGTACAGATAGGAACTGGAAACACAGGGAATCCAGGACGGATGATCCCTTCGGGACCAGTGCCAAGAGTGGTGATACTGGCAGGGTGGAGGGAGGGTGAGGTGGAAAGGGGGAACCGATTACAAGGATCTACATATAACCTCCTCCCTGGGGGACGGACAACAGAAAAGTGGGTGAAGGGAGACATCGGACAGTGTAAGACATGACAAAATATAAGTTATCAAGGGTTCATGAGGGAGGGGGATGCAGGGAGGGAGGTGAAAAAATGAGCTGATGCCAGGGGCTTAAGTGGAGAGCAAATGTTTTGAGAATGATGAGGGCAATGAATGTACAAATGTGCTTTAAACAAATGATGTATGGATTGTGATGAGTTGTATGCGCCCCCGATAAAATGAAAAAAAAAAAAAATTTTTTTTTAAAAACCAAAAAGAAAAAGACTGGTTCAGGTTCTGTTAGGTTTCTCTGGTGAGAAATAACTCGGTCCTTGGCTTCACGCAAGAAAGAATTCACTCTGAAGCCTGGTTTGTGATGCAAGTGAATTTTGTAGAGGATAGAAGAAGCTTCAGGTTTTACACAGGCTCCCCCAAGGCCCTTCATCCCCGCACGTGGAGACCTGAGGTCAGAGGAGACTGAGACGGCTGGCGGGGGAGCAGCTTGAGGAAAAAAAGAGGCCATGGGCTTCCGGTTCTGGTTCTGGCTTTCCAGGCCCTCCGCTGGGAGTTGTGGTTGCCGGTATTGGTTGACCCTATTGGCTGAATTAAACTCACCTGGCCTAGATTGGGTACCACCCGCTTAGGTGTACCGCCCCTTCCTGGCTCAGAGCCTGAGTTTTTGAGCAGGCCCAGTGGACACCCTGGTCCCTGTTCTGACTACCCTGTTCTGTGTGACCCCAGAATGACAATACCCATCAGGGACAGACCCAGGCCAGCCCCCAAAGGAGGCTGCCCCTTCCCACATTGGTCACCTGAGTGGTGATTCCACTTGCCAATGAGCTCTGCCTGAGGGCAAGGCAGTCCCCCTCCCTAGGTAAAGGTCAGAAGGGATTCAGTGGAGACTGAATCCATGTGGGGACTCTGCAAATGGAATTTGGACTTTGACTATGATCCCTCAACTCAATCCACTGCCATTGAGTCCGTTTTGACTCATAGGGACCCTACTGTATCGGGCAGGATTGAACTGTCTCCTGTGAGTCTCTGGAGACTCACTTTTTACGGGCGTAGAAAGCCCCATCTTTCTCCAGCAGGCCAGCTGGTGGTTTCAAACTGCTGACCTTGTGGTTGGCAACCCACTGCACACCAGGGCTCCCCATTATCCTCAGCCTTCCATAAAACGCAGTGCTCTGAATTTAAGCTTTAAATCAACATGCCTTAACACCCACGGTCCTTGGATGTGGGCCCAAACCAACCCAAACAGAACCCATTGCCTTCCAGTGGATTGGGTCAGGGCCACCCTCTTGGGCAGAGCAGAATGGCCCCAGGGGGTTTCCAAGGCTGTCACCTTTAAGAAGAGCCACCACTAACCTTTTCGTAAACAGGCAGCCATTTAATGCCATGGTTCCCAACCTTCCTCATACCCCACAACCCTTTCATACAGCTCCTCATGTGGGGGTGACCCCCAACCATAACATTATTTTCATTGCTACTTTATAACTGTCATTTTGCTACTGGGATGAATCGTCATGTAAATATCTGATATGGAGGATGTATTGCCATTTTTCAAATCGAACATCATGAGAGCATAGTGATGAATCACAAAAACAATACATCATTATAGATTGTAAAATATTTATTTCTAATGACAAATCAATGACATTGTGTTGTGAAGCATGGTGTAGCATGGGTAACAGTCTTCACCCCGGGGTAGGTGGGCATATCAGCATGTGGGCGGACCCACCTGCAAACGGCTAGAGGAGCGGTGTCTTGGTTCCTAAGACCAACAGAAATATGTTTTTCCGATGGTCTTAAGCAACCCCTGTGAAAGGGGCGCTTGACCCCCAAAGAGGTCGTGATCCACAGGTTGGGAAAGGCTGATGTAATGGCTGCACCAGTAGACTTCACACGGAAGCCACCACATGGGGGACAAACTTGGCTCTGGCATCCCTGAAAAGGAGCCAGGACAGTGCTAAAGAAAACTTCCAGCCTCACAGTCAGCAACGTGGAGGGCTGGTTGCTCACTGGGATGCTAACCTCAAGGCCAGCGGTTCGAAACCACCAGGGCTCCAAGGGAGGAAAGTGGGGCTTGGCATTCTGGGAAGTTACCGTCTCCGAGCCCCAGGGCCACTTGTCCCCTGTCCTGTGGGGTCACCATGAATCAGAACAGACTCGATGGCAGGGAGGTTGGTTGGAGTTTCCCCTGGGGGTGCGGTGGTCCCAAGCCCAGCTGCCCGCTTCAGGGGTGACCTGTGGAACCCACACCTGGTGTTTCTGGGGGACACAAACCTTGTGGGTGGACTGCTCCTGTCAAGATTAACACAAAGCAAACCAAAGGGATCTTACAGGCCAGAGTAGACCTGCCCCCAGGGGGCTTCCACAGCTGGAAGCAGACCACCACAACTGCCTCCCTCGGAGACACTGGTGGGTTCCCAACAGACGGCCGTCAAGCTGAGCGATTAAGTTGCACCTCCAATCGCTCCCTTCTGTAGGGCTTCAGAACCGAAAGCCCTCGTTGCCATGACACCAACCAGTCGGTCCAACTCAATCGACCCTTTTGGTTCTCAGCCTAGTGCTTGAATGGCTGCACTACCAGGGCGCCCCTTGGGAAGAACAACACCTAATAACAGCTAACCTAGCAACAGCCAGGGAGCCTAGCAACAGCTAACCTAAGAACAGCCTTCATGTGTCACTTGCTGGCCAGG